AATCGGAACTGAGTGCTTCTCACATTATTACCAAAGTCCTAGGTAGTAACCTTTATCGCCTCCAAAATGTCGCCAAACTACCTGTTACCATATTCCAAAGATCAGCCAAATCGCCAAGTTACCATAATCCAAAGATTAACCACAATTAATTGTAATGTTTTTTTAACTATATTTGTTTTCACAATTGCAGAAAGAATTAGATAAATGCACATTTATATCCATATATTATGATGGTTCCAAGCACAAAGATTTCAAATTATTTCTCACAATTATAGACTTTTTGATCCAGAAACAATAATTAAAATTAGAATATTAGATTTTGTTTCATTGCCAGGTGACACTTCATAAATAATTTTTTATTCAATAAGTACTATTCTAAAAAAGAGCAATTTGAACAATAAATTTATTGCCTATTATGAGGATAACACTAACGCAAATTTTGGTGGAAAAGCTAGAAGAGCCATCGGTAACGTTTTTATGAAACTTAACAAACATTTAAACAAAAAATTATTGGAGTAGGTTGTGCAGCACATATTCTGCACAGTACTATTCAGACAGCATCTGACTTACTTCCAATGGATCTTGTAAATATTATTGCAAAAATTTATTCGTATTTATATATATATATACTGTTCGTGTTGAAAGTTTGAATGATAAAAGCCCAGAAATCGAACATAAAAGAATTATTGGTTGCAGGAAAACACGATGGCTAGCTCTTTTACCAGCTGTAGAAAATATTTTTAAAATATACGAACCATTAAAATCATACTTTTTATCACAAGATAAATATCCAAGAATATTGCAGCTCTTTTTTGAAAATAGCACATCACAAATTTGTCTTCAGTTCATCCACAACCAAGCTATGTTATTTCACAATGCTGTGAAAATTATTGAAGGGGACAAAATTTCAATTACGGAAGTGTCAAATGAAATCAATAATTTAAAAACAAAATTGCGAGAAAGAATTGATAACGATTATGTTCTTTTAGTTAATCGAAAGTACATCACTAGGTTGGAAGAACAAGGTGCCATTAAACGACCTGATTTTCTGAAAGAATCAGAAATTTTTATAATATAATAACTGCTTGGAATTTCTTGAAGAATGGACAGTTCAATTGGAGGATATTAAAAATTTTTATTCGGTGACATTAAAAAAAGATTTTATGTGAATATGTGGAAAAATTTTTTAATACAGTACAAAGTCTAATCTGAACCTCAAAGCTACAAACTTTCTGCGCATGCGTAAACGCATTATGCATTTACGCATGCATGTTTAATGTGTAACGGACGGTATAAGCTAAGCTCTAATTATCTATTTCAGTTAATGTTGCAGATTGCATTGTTCCTTAATCTTCTAATTGGATCCGGCTTATTATTTTTTGCAGACTGTTGGAGCAATTTTATAAAAAGTCAGCTTGAACTTTCGATTGTATCAAAAAGAGTTTCCAATTCTGGAGCTGCCATAGGATCTACAAAGCGAAAGCATGTTTCGATGTCCATTAAACAAAAAGTGGAATTGCTGCAAAAAATGGATAAAGGCATGAAGAAAGTGACAGAGAGCTGATTTGTTTCTCTAACCATTCTGAAATCTGTTTATCAATTTCACTCTGCTCTTGGGGGGCGGATGTCGCGGTGCGCAATAAACTGGAAATTGATCTGTCAACACTATCCTCATCTTCAGAGCAGATGTTTTTATTTTATTCGGCTTATAATTCCTTACTAAATGCAGTGTTTCATCTCGATGTACTCCGATATGATTTAAATCAATTTCCTCGTCATTATAAATATCACAAATAGACATCAAATAGTTTTCTTGTTGCAATTTTGACTATGCATAATGTATGCTTTGCGCATGCGCACGTTGAAAGAAATGTTTAATAAATTAAAGAAATAATTATTAAGCTATTTTTTTTTTTTTTTTTTGTAAATTTTGATAGCCTTTAGATCATAATTGCTCTTTATTTCATAAATTACAGTTTCATATTTTTTATTGTATAATTTCTGCATGCCATCTTACCAGATTTAAATTGATGATCTATAATCTGGAAAAACCCCTAATCCAGAATCTCTGAAGTTCCGACGAGTCCGGATTAAAGACTTTGTACTGTATATTAGTAACCATTTTCCGAAAAATAATATTTGCAAAAATGATCTTTTTCATGAGGTGTCATTGGTAAAAAGATACGTTATTGAATAAAAAATTAAATCTTTGTTGTCTGCAAATGTGGTAACACGCAAAAAATAGATGGAGTTATTCCTTCATTTTAAACAGAATAATATTGCTTGTGAAAATATTTTGAAAATTATAGAACACTTGCTCTCCCTTCCAGGAACAAATGCAGCAACAGAACGTATTTTTTCTAGTATCAATGAAATATAGACTATTGAAAAAATGCAGTTGAACATTAAAACTTTAAAATCTGTATTAAGCGTAAAATATAATTTGACCAATTCTTATGAGAAATTTCACAACATATTAATAAATGATCCGAATCTATTGGAAAGTATTCACTTGGATAAAAAATATAATTTTGAAAGAAAATAATAATTTTTTAAATAAAATTTGTAATTAATTAAAAAAAAACATAATATTCAAATTATAGTTTTTACAAATATTTTTATAGTTACCAGTAGTTGTTCCCCTTGACAAGTCAATTAATCAGCAATTGATGACATTAATTACTTTTTCAGTATTTAAAATTTTAATTTTGAATTTGGTATTGTTGCAGTTCAGAATTTTTCTTTCCAGATTTTAAATGGTTTTTTACTACAATAGCAGACTGATTTAAATTATACTGATTTAAAATACGACAGTCAAAAGTCGTTATTCAGACCTCAAAGTTACAAACTTTCTGTTCATGCGTCGCGTTGACGCATGCGCATAATATGTTTACGCATGCGCGTTTAATGTATAACGGATGGTATAAGCTAAGCTAAAATTATCTAATTCAGTTAATGTTGCAGATTGCGTTGTTCCTTAATCTTTGAATTGGATCCGGCTTATTATTTTTTGCAGACTGTTAGAGCAATTTTATAAAAGTAAGCTTCAACTTTCGATTATGTCAAATAGAATTTCCGATATATATTTACTAATATGTAAAGGATCTACAAAGCGAAAGTATGTTTCGAAGTCCATTAAACAGAAAGTGGAATTGCTGCAAAAAATGATAAAGGCATATCCTTTGATTATTTAATATCCTTTGATTATTTAATCATTCCGAAATATGTTTATCAATTTCACGCTGCTCTTGCGGGGGAGGGAAGTGACGCGGCGCGCAATGAATTGGAAGTTGATCTGTCAGCACTATCCTTATCTTCAGGGCAGATGTTTTTAATTTATTTGGCTTATAATTCTTTACTAAATGTAGTATTTCATCTTGATGTACTCGGTCTTTGATATGATTTAAATCAAGTTCCTCGTCATTATAATTCGCTTCCGATAGTGACTCGGAGGTTATTGAAAACAAAAAAATTTCGATTGAAAAATTAGTCGATATTCTCGACACAGCAATTATAGGACTTAAACAGCGGAACTTTGTAACTAAACAAGAAATTATGTCTGTTTAATAGAATTAAAGAGAAAGTATTATCACATGAAACGAAGCAAATTAAACAACTTACATTGAAAGAAATGTTTTAAAAAAGTAAACAAATAAATATTTAGCTTTTCTTTTTGTAAAATTTTGATACCCTTTAGATCATAATTGTTCTTTATTTCAAAAAATATGGTTTCATATTTTTAATTTTATAATTTCTGCATGCCATCTTACCAGATTTAAACTGATGATCTATAATCCGGAAAAATCGATAATAAGGAATCGCCAAAGTCCCAACGAGTCCAGATTAACGACTTTTGACTGTAATTAGAATACTGACTAAAAAATTTTTAGAATAATTCATGGCTTTAATTGAATTTCTATTCCTTGGAGATAATATATAAAATGCTTTTTTTACTAATAAATTGTTGGCTTATTACTTAGCAGCTTTAGTGCAAATATATGTATATACATGGTGGCGCAGGGAAATGGGAAATTTTGAACGTTACAGTTGGCAGCACTGTAGAGCCGCAGTTGTTCGAAACTTTGCACAATTGTTGTGAGCGTATTGCCATTTAGTAATCATGGATCATTGGACTGGTGCGCAACGTGCAGTAGCTGTGAGAGTGTTTTATCAAAAATGGTGATAGTGTGACTGCCGTGCAGAGAATATTTCGACAGCATTACCAGCTTGGACGTGTCCCATCTGCGTATGCGATTACAATGTAGGTGCATAACTTTGAAGAAATAGGATCTGCCTTGAAAAAGAAACCTCCAAGTGGCATTCCAACGGTACGTACCCTAGAGAACATTGAAGCTGTTAGAGCTGCAATCAAGAGAAGTCCTCGCCGCTCCGTTCGACAGCATGCATCTTCGCTAGGGATTAATGTCAGTTGTTTGGAAGACGCATTATTTCACGTTGACATTGAATGGCCTGCAAGATCCCCTGATCTTAGTGTGTGCGACTTCTTCCTGTGGGGATATCTTAAAGGCAAGGTGTACCATACACGTCCTGCAACAATCCATGAACTGAAGGAGAACATTGAAAAAGAAATCACTGCCATTTCCCAAGATTTGCTACACTGCACATTCCAGAATTTTCATAACAGGCTGTTAGAGTGTGAAGGCCAAATGGGAGTGCATCTTTCCAATGTCATCTTTAAAAAGTAAAAAGACACTTTTGGACATTTTGATTGTAAAAACATAAATGGCATGCTGAATACATGCACTTCCGTTAATAAATTACTAGTTTTATGAATTTATTCGTGGAAATGACGTTTTTTTCGAAATTTCCCGTTCCCTGCGCCACCCTGTATAAAGTTAGGTTAATTTATTCAAGTAATTAAGAAGTATATGTGTTTATATATATATACACACACACACATTGTTAGAAGTTCTCAGGTTTTGCAATTTGCTATTGAATTAATATTTATTTTGTTCAATTTATATATGTATATGTTTTAGCGTATCAAATCTGATATTACATCTCAAGAAAATTCAAGTCCTTCTAATGATGAATCTCATCCAAGTCGTTGCGATTATTGTCTGTTCACTGCATCTGCAAATAGGAAGGGAAAAGCAGAAGAGTTGTTAGTTTGTAAAGATTGTAATGCAAAAGGTAATTTTACTTCCTTATTTTTATTTTTGAAATGAATGAATTTCAGTCACATATGCATTGTACAAAGAAAAATACAAAGGGAAAAAAAGCGCTTTAGAAAATACATCAAAAGAGATGCTATTAACTATATTTGAAATTATACGGATTGTTGCTTTGCTGTTGGATATTTTTTATACGGTAGTATGTTTACCTTTAGTGTTTCTGATCAAAATGTTATAGTAATTCAACTATGTACTTAGTTTTATGCTTATTGCTTATCTTTAGTATTTCTGGTCAAACTGTGATAATAATTTATCTGTGTACTTTATTTTAAAATAATTTTTACTTTCATAATTTTCTTAATTTGAACAAAATTTTTTATGATTTAAAATGCCCCTTTTATTTATCCTATGGTATTAATTTGGAGCAGAAAACAAATCTGTTATTGTATGAAAAGTTAATTATCATTTAGCATGATGAGCTGAATGCTGTTTGTTACATTCAGTTTGCATGCAACCATTGCCAGTCCTAGACTGTTGGTCGCCCACGTGCAAGTTAAATTTGGCCATCCTATTTTTTCAGAAATATAATGAGTTTGATAATCATTTCATCGCCCTGAAATTTGGCTGCCCACGTGCTGTGTTCCATCTTGCTCCCTGATAGGACTGGCCCTGCATGCAACCATATTTTAAAAAAGTCTGAAAAGAAAAAATTTTGATATTTTTGTATTTTTCTGAAAAACAAAATGGTTAGCCTATATTTAAGAGTTGCGTGTTTACAGTGAATTTCACTGATGGAAAAAGATTTGTAAGAGCTTGTTTGTGTGTTGGATGTTGGTTAGGAAGTACACTGTTTGTTTTGTGGTTTAAATGGTAAAATGGCTGAATGTGGTAAGATTAATTTTGAAGTTTCTTTACGATTTGGAACGAAAGGGGAAAAAAATTTACAGTTAAAAGTCTTTAATCAAGACTTGTCGGGACTTCGGCTATTTCCGGATTATCGTTTTTTCCAGATTATAGATCATCAGTTTAAATCTGGCAAGATGGCATGCAAAAATTATAAAATTAAAAATATGAAACCATAATTTATGAAATAAAGAGCAATTATGATATAAAGAGTATTAAAATTTACAAAAAGAAAAAGCTTAATATTTATTTGTTTACTTTATTAAACATTTCTTTCTACGCGCGCATGCATAAAGCATACATTACGCATAGTCAAAATTGGAAAATTGCAACCAGGAAACTATTTGATGTGTATTCATGACATTTATAATGACGAGGAATTTGATTTAAATCATATCAAAGACGGAGTACATCGAGATGAAATACTACATTTAGTAAGGAATTATAAGCCAAATAAAAAAAAATCTTCTCTGAAGATAAGGATAGTGCTGACTGATGCAAAAGCAAAGTTTAAAGTTATAAAAACATTTAGCAGAAATAGCAATAGAAGCTCCCTAAGGTTATATACTGTGCAGACATTGAAGACAAAAATTTTTAACTTAACCAATTTATTAAGAATATATATAAAAATACAATAAATAAATTTAATCAACACCAGAAACTTAAAGAGTTTAACAATATCAAAAATTGCATTCAGTTGACTATTCATTAACCCCAAGGGTTTTTTCTTTAAAGAATATTACACTATCAATGATACAGTAAATATATTACCTGACCTTTGAAATACTGGAATTCAATACGCAAAAACATATCACAGAACAAAAAACAAAAAACTATGCACGATTAATATGAATTTCACTTCACTATAAATAGGTCCATGCTTTTTGGCCAAGAAGGCACCTGAAAAATTAAACTAAACCTTGAGTGCACTTGAACTGGCAAAAGCCGCTCACTGTAGTTACACACGTGAGATCACAGCTTGGAATTCATTGCCGCCCATGGCAGTTGCTCACTGGAAATCGCAGCTTGAAATCTGACGTCCCTTAACTTTGGAAACAGGATGCCGCCCACGGCAGTTGACCACCAGGAGCTACAACCTGAGATCTATTGCCGCCGAACCACAGAAACAGGATGCCGCCCATGGCAGTTGCTCACATCGTAGCCGCTTTGCAGAATCCAGGAAAAATCATCATGGACTGGAACCATGGTACTTATCACTGGACGGCACGCATCCACTGCGTCTTCCAATGTGCACTGGAACGGCACACCAAGGAGCAATGAAACAGGAACCAGAAGGAATAAGCCAGAGCGATGCAAGATACTTATACATGATGTAGGCATGACGTCATCTCACAGCAGCCAATTAGCTGTCGGCATGACTCAACTTTCCAAATGATGTAACATCAAGCTTCCATTTTTGCATCTTTAATTAAGGCTGGAACAGTCCGTTCTTAATACAAACAGTGGCAGTGAAAAAGAAGTAGAAGTAATTGCTATATCCCTTTAAAATAAGAACTAAACCTTATGTAAAAGTTAGAATTACTTCAGGGAGGACAGATGATGTAGAAAAAGGGTTACAATAGGTCATATTTTCAACACTGACAGATCAACTTCCAGTTCGTTGTGCGTCGCGATGCCCCCCTTCCCCCACAGAGCAGAGATAAATTGATAAAGAGATTTCGGAATAGTTAGAGAAACAAAGGATATGCCTTTATCCATTTTTTGCAGCAATTCCACTTTTTGTTTGATGGACATCAAAACATGCTTTCGCTTTGTAGATCCTTTGGCAGCTCCAGAATTGGAAATTTCATTTTGACATAATCAAAAGTTCAAGCTTACTTTTATAAAATTGCTCTAACAGTCTGCAAAAAAATGATAAGCCAGATCCAATTAGAAGATTAAGGAACACCGCAATCTGCAACATTAACTGAAATAGATAATTAGATAGTTTTAGCTTAGCTTATACCATCCGTTATGCATTAAACGTGCATGTGTAAACATATTATATGCATGCATAAAGGTATTATGCACATGTGTAAACGCTATGCATGCGTAGAAAGTTTGTAGCTTTGAGGTCTGGATTAAAGACATTTGACTGGTATGTAGCAGAAGGTTTACTTAGTGGCCATTATAAGTGTCTTGTTTGTACAAAGGAAATAAATGTGTATGGTTGAACATAGAGATCTTCAGATGGCTTTGAATTGGGTGTGTTGTAAGAAAGGTTCAAATGGCCATCATATAAAGAGTTCATTTAGACAGGGAACATGGTTTGAGGAAAGTCATTTAAGTATTACTCTTATTTTTGCGAATTTATATGGTGATGCCACTATACAGATTCTAGTTCAGATAATTCTAGAAAATTTTTGGGATGCTGTTAAGGAATTTTGTGTGCCACAGATTGAAGACACAGATATTTCTAAATAAGGTAAGTGGATATTTCCTTTGTGTAGTGCTTAGATGCTATAAGATGAATTTTCTTTCTTATGTTTTTTAATTGTTTGATTTAAAATGTAGTTTATTGAGATTATATATTCTTTGTTTGGCTCTAGTGTAGAATTGGGTGCTCTTTTGACTTTTTAAGTGAAAAATAGATCGATGTGTGCGTGGATACCGAGTTTGTGCAATTATTTGACTTGTTTTTTTGGCTTTATGTAGCGGTGATTTTTGCCCCAAAAATTGCTGCTACAGAAAGCCAAAATAACAAGTTAAAGAATTGCACAAACTTGGTGTCCATGTACCTCCAAAAATCGCTAGTTTTCGCCAAGGGGCACCCGTAAATATATTTTAACAACAAAACTTTGGATTTGGTCCTATTATTAAACTAGCAGTTCAATTCAGTTTACTCTTTGCTGTTGTTAATTGTACTTTTTGTAAAATAATTATGAGTTTATCTTATATCAGTAATATTTCAATTTCCATTTGCAGCCCATCTAAATTGTATGGAATATGCCAAGTTATCATTTGAAAACTATCCATCTCCTGAAAACTGGCAATGTCCTGATTGCAAAACTTGTGTGATTTGTGATGAAACAGCCACTACTGTAAGAATTAGAATTTTTTTTAAGCATGTATTTCTTATTATATTTTAATATTGTTTATGGTGAAATATGTCTCTATTGCTATTTAGCTGTATAAAATATTCATAGTAACATAAGTCTTATCTTCTCTTCTCTACATATTATAAAAGAAAGAGTCTGTCTGTGTGTGTGTCTTTCGTTCGCGCTGCGCATAAGCTAATAGACCCACGGCTACGAAATTTGGTACATAGGTGCATCTAGACAAGAGCCAGTGCACCTCGAAGCTATTTTTTTTTTAAATTGGAATTCGAATTTTTTTTTTTTTTTTTTTTTTATTTTTTATGTTTTGTGACGAAATTGCGTCATTTTGAGACATAATGGGCTATAAGAAAGAGAGATTTTACTCTACACTATTTTCACATCATAAAACGTAGGCACTTAGCTATTTTATGAACTTAAAATAAATTTAGTGTTTCAATAAATCAATAAAATACAAATTTATTTAACAAAGTGAGCTTAACACCTTTTCAATGGGATTTTTTCTAAAAAAGTTTATTTTTAAAAATGTACAGATTATTTTTCTTTGATTTTTGGACACATTAAACTTTCATCCTTGCGACTGCTTTTACAAAAAAGAATTTTGAAAAAAAGATAATATTTTGAATTTTTAAAAATTTTTAAATGAGCTTCCGAGTACACTTCTCAATCTTTAAAAAAATGTGATTTGGCAACAATTTCCTTTCTTATTGCTGTTGTTGATAGATTTTGCGAAATCGCATCATTTGATTAGTTCATTCTTTCAGAATATGGGTTTGGCAACAATTTTTCATCGTATTTCTTATGTCACTGTTTTTAAGAGATTGGCACATTTTATTGTCATTTTTTACTTCCTTGTATGAAGTAAAAAAGAAGTATTGTAAACGCGAAAAGTTTCAGGCAGCATATTTCAACGAAAATATCCATTTTGACTGCTATCAAATGCAATTTAACAAATTTTTTTTTTTTTTTTTTTTTTTTTGCGTGATATCTGTACGTAAGGACAGAATAGATGATGCGTTTCCTCCAAAAAAATTATAAAACTGCTTTAAAATGAATTCTGAAGAGAATGTACGAACGTATGTACGTACGTATCTCGCATAACTCAAAAACGAGTGGCGTCAGAACGTTGAAATTTTGTATATAAGACTGCTATAACATGTAGATGCGCACATCATATTTTGGTTGGAATTGGCCGCACCAAATGTGTATAAATACATTTATATATATATATAGCCACTCTGTTACCCGGCTCGGTGATCTCAGTTTCTTTACTCTTTACTCTTATAGTTTGTAAATTGTACATTTTTTGCTTAAAAATGATTGAATATGTTGTTTTTATCTTCCGTTAGGTTTTTATGCCTTTAGTAAATCTGTATGCAGTATTTTTAGAATTATCAATAATTTTAAAGTTGTTTAAGTGCCACTAAGCCTTTTTTGGATGGCGACCATTGATTGTTTACATTTGGAACCGCAGACTAGTGGATTTGTTGCCAGTCGAGAAACTTAGCTTCGCAACAACAAAAAAAACGCCTTCATTTATTAATGCCAATTAAATCATGCTTAATCCTTTCTGGAATTTTTGCGAGGAAATAAGTGTTTAAAATTTACTTTGTAATTTTTAATATAGATATGTTGAGTTTTTTTTTTTATTTTTGCCTTCTTGGGAAGTGAGAACTGAATTAATTGAATGAGAAATACTCAATCGTCTGTGAAAAACTGTTTCTTTTTTGTTTGTTTGCTTAATTTCTTTTATACTCATTTCTAGCTTTATTAGTATTGAATAGAAAGTGGCAACGATAGATAATTCTATTCTTAAATGATATAAATTTTGTGCTTATGAGTTATAATATGAACGAAATATAATATGTTATGAATTCTAGCGCAGATGTCCCTATGGTAAAACAAATACTAGAGTGAATTTCAAAGAATGCATTTATTCTATTGTGTTTTATGCGCTGTCGGCGAAGTAGATTTAATTCAATCCAATAAGTTAAATGAAATGCAAGTAAAATGCGTGTAATTTAATATTTCGTACAAGAAGTCATGTGGTGTATACATCAGATTTTTATATATATATATAATACTTTTTTTTTTTTGATAAAGTTGTTTTGCAGAGTAAAATTCTGCGTGGAATTTTGGTTTTTGAGTTTCTTTTTTTTTCATGTTATTTTTTTGCTTATTTCACTGTTTGTAAGATATTTAAAAGTTTTGCATGATTTTTTTTCTTCAACGGGAAAGTTGGTTAATTTTTTATAGGATAATTAATTTGTATTAAGGGATATAGCTTATTTCATTGTAATTTGTTTCTCTTGAAAATATAATAAAATATCATTAATTATAATTGGCTTTTCAGAATTTTTTTTTTGTTTTTTGTATTCTTTTGCTTGTTTCACTTTTAAGATATTGAAAAGTTTTGAGTAATTTTTTAGGAAACAAAGTTCTTAACCTCCTTTTTATACATTTGAGTTCTTAAGATTTTGCAAAGTTAAGTTGGTTAATTTATTATAGGATAATTAATATTGTATTAAGGGATTGCTTATTTCATTGTAATTTTGTTATACATAATATTTTTTTTATGAAATTGTTCTGCAGAGTAAAATTCTGCGCAGTTTTTAAATTTAACTTTTGGTATTCCCTTCAGCCATTTTTCCATACATTTAAAAGCCAGACAAGGCTGGCAGGGCAGCGAGCTGCTATTGTAAGAAAATTAAAAAAAAAATTAAAAAAGAGTCCAAAATGGCTCCACAGTTTGACTGTGCAATCCAGACAGGAGAGCGGCTGAGTGCAAAAAAGTATAAATGAGCATAAAAAAGTAGATACTGTATAGGGACCTTAAAAAAAATTTATATTCATGTAATAAATTTTAGCGCATTATATATCCATAATTGATAAATTATTCGCTTATGTTTTGAAAAGAAAATCGCTATTTGGGCAACTATTTTAAAAAGATAGCACATCAGATAGGGAGTCCCCTTGCTAGTTCCCTTTATTTTGGTATGTAAAAATGTTAAAATTTGTGAAAAACATGGAAACTGTTAACCCCCAATGTTGAAAACTCTGTGTAATGTGGAGAAGCATTTTTTTGCTGTCATATATTGGGTTTAATTCCTTATTGAAATTTTTATTATCTAATAATACAAAAATTAAAAAGTAAAATGACCATCTCCTGCGCTCCCCAGAAAAAACCCAAATTTGTGCAAACCTCGCGACCATAGTAATATGCGCATCAATCAATTTAGGAATTTTGTCTCGGGGAGTATGCGCATCATCTTATTTGAGAATTTTGTTGTTGACGAGCATGTGACTTTAGTCAACATTAGATATTATAATATCCAATTAATGGTATGATAATTTTATTAAATTAGATACCATATTTTATACAACAATGGATTTATACATAAGTAGTAAACATAGAATTAACCTTATTAGTGGGCAATTGTTATGTGAAAACAATCACTGTTAATTACCACTACCGTATATACGGTTACCTATCGTAAAATATGAACATGAAATAAATCGTAACATTTCTATCTAGCTAACTATTTATCTAGTTTCTACAATTAGTGATTAATAGTAAACGTCTTTATTCACTGTTTTCATCACTGGAATCCTTGCAGCTCTTTTCGTCAGACGCAGATTCATTTCTTCTTTCCTCATCATCATCATCGTCATCCTCGGCGTTCTAGAGCTCGTCATCTTCACTGCCATTCAATGAATTTGAAATGCAGCATTTCTTAAAAGATTTCACAATCTTTGGTGCTTCGATGCTTTTCCAGGCAACAGAAACTCAGTGCAACAATGTGCGGTGCAGCACGCTTAATTTTTCCTGTCGGGGTCAATTCGCGGTCATCGGCGAACTTTGCACTCGAATCTAATGCGCACCCCAATTTTGAATACTACATTTGGCCAAAAACGATGCGCATTAGATTCGCGTAAATACGGTAATATAGTTTAATTTGCAATATCAAATGGTAATTATAAAAAATAAAGTATTTACTCTGGACTGGAAGTGAAACAAAACCAGTTGGAAACTTAAAATAAATAATAACCATATCAAGAAAAAAAATTGTATGTACAATATTAGCATTTAAATAGGTGCCTTTTTTGCTAGTCAAATCCATCTTATATTTTTTGAAATTGCTTTATTATGTTATTTTAATAATTTCAGACTTAAAGTACTTTCATGCTTCAGACATCAAAAATTTCATATGAGATTTAGCAGAAGTAATGTTTTTCTTATTCTTTATTTCATGTTTTCTATATTAAGCAACTTGTATTTTTCTTTCCCACGTAAATCTAAGTCTTTAACCCTACTTAAACTAACAGGTGAGATATCACTCCTGTGAAAGTATTGCAAAGTCATAAAAAGGTTTTAAATAACTTTTAATAATAAAAATATTCAGTGCCCTCGCCAGATCCAAAGCCTTTTGATTGCTAATCAGGTGCGTTTCCAGTTATGCCACAAAAGTGTGTGGTAAGGAATGAGAATATTATCTAGAAATATATGGTAGATTACTAAGTTTATCCATGCAATGGTGTGCACATTAATTATTAATTTTATTTTTACTGTGTTTAAAAGTACTTGGATAAATTAAAGCTTTCTTTCTCTGCTCAGCGTTTTCTCAGTAAAAAAACAAAGGAACATTATTTATTACTTAATGCAACATTATAAATAACGTTAGCTATTAATAAGATAATTATTTCATATGCAAATTAAATTTACTGTACTTGAGTATTTTGTGCAACTCTACATTTTGCAAATGTTATTCTTAAGGGTATTTTTTATACTACATGTCAATATTCGATACTGAGTGCGGTAACAAATGCGCTACAGATTAAAAGCTTATTGTGAATATTCTATCATTAATTGCCTTCCTTTCTTTATTTAGGATGAAATGCTTACTTGCAATATATGTTTCAAAGGTTATCATATGAATTGCCATGAACCTGCTGTTTTACATAAACCATCAGGTAGTTTTAATTTTGTTCTTATTTTTTTTTTTTTTTAACAAATTTCTGCTTATTTTTTCTTTATAAAAACTGAATGAATTTTACATCTTTAATATTAAAATCTGTGCGCGCCTCTTTGTGTGTTTGTAACACTATCTCCTCGAGAACAGCTCGTAAATAATAAAATTTGTCCTGGTGTACCTATTGTCCTACCCAAATAATTTTAGTTACAGTTAACTGTTTCTCTCCCTTTCCCTGGTTTTCATAAAAATTTTTAAAATTCTTTACAGATTAATTGTAAAACTTACTTATAATTTTTTGCATGTGAATTCTTCATCATTAATTGTAAACAAATATATGAATGAATTCATGTGATTTCTTTTCATAATGTTAAACATTTAGTTAATAATTTGGAAAAAACACTATTTTGCAATTTTTAAAAAAGTTGTTATTTAATATTTCTTTTTTTATATACATATAATATTTTTTAAGTAAATGACCAAATACTTGTAATTGAACATAGCTTGTTGAGAATGTGCTAACATATCGGTCATTTATATATCTTAGTACCAAAAGCACTGGCTATGGGTTGACCAATATTGCACTAGTGAGAAAGGGTATACATACCAGCAAACAATCTGTATTCAGTATTTGAACCAATACCTGGAGTTCAGACTATCACTGTCTGTTAACCATAAGAATATTCAGGCAAACTGTTATTTTAATTAAAGTATAAATTCAAGACTTACTTCACTTAGCCTTGGTATTCAAAAAGGATTCAATGGGAGCTTTTCCCTCCTCTCTCAGATATCAAGACATGAGGGTTTTTTTTTTTTTTTTTTTTTTTTTTTTTTTTTTTTTTTTAAGTGACTGAGCAGGCTGGCTAAATGGGGCTTCTCTGATTTATGATTTATCCTAAATGTAACATGAATTATTTTCCTTTAAAAAGGTGCTTCGTGAACCGTCATCCTTAACGAGGAAGGTCAGCCAATGATAAACTTTCAGTATTATGATTTTAAAAAATATGGTAAAAATTAGCTATGAAGTGCTGTACTGTATAGACTGAATATTCCTTTACGCCTGAAGTAAATGTGTGTAACAGTGCAAGAGTTAAGATACTTAAGATTTGAATCTCTCATCCTGATCCTTGACATAGCAACAATGCCTCATGTGAATTTCAATGTGATGCTGTGTGACTGCCTGGGGAAGAGAATAAAGATCCCAAACTCTGCAGTTCCTACCCACTTCACATTTATTGTGTGTGAATACCTGTGCAAACAGTTCCCTGGCTTGTAGATAAGATGTAGGTTCCCAAAATCACCAGCCCTTTATCCTTGGCCACCTTGAAGTCTAGAATTCATGACACCAGACCCGGTGGAGGATCATCAAGTCATATGTTAAGAAGCAGTGGTATGTGAACAATGATGCTTTGTGGGCAAGTGTGCTTGAGGTCTTCCAACATGTGACATTGCAGCAGCTAAAGTGGATGAGTAGGACGGCATTCAGGCATATCAATCAGTGCAGGCATAATGGTGGTGCACATACACATTTAGGACAAATAACTGTAATTATAGTGTTATTATAGTGCAATTTGTAACTATTATTATAGTTACAAAGAAATAATTCCATGTGTAAAGGCACTTTTCTAGCCACTGTGTGCAGTGGTGGCCAAAATTGTGGACACTTTTGAAAATTTTTATGTTTTTGAACTTTGTATGCTTATAGAAAATGTTATGTTTCACAAAGTGCAAACTTGTATATATCATTTTAAAGAGAATTTATTACTGAATTCAATACAAAACACAAAATTCAATTATTTGCAATACAAAAAAGTTATATGTACTTTAATATAAATAAAAAACACAGTTATGAAGTGGTTTGTAATGTCTAGCTTTCCTGGCCAATCACTGTTCTTGTTCTGAGAACCAATCAAATGTTAGTAACTGCCAATAGAAGCTGACATCCTGTTTACACTTGAAACAATTCATTATTTTGCTTTGTTCTGTAGAAGGACCTGTTTCTTATACACTGCAATTACAAGTAGGAATTTTTGTAAAATATTTTAATATTTAGTCAAGAAGCAATGACATCAAATAAAAGAGTAGATTGAACACCTGGAAAGAGATGTAATATTTATTGTATTACGAGAAAGTGATCTTTCCTATGCTGAAATTGCAAGACAGGTGGGTGGTTCAGTGACTACATCTGTTCAGTGAGTCCGAAAGTTTTGTTTACGATATCAGGAGACAAATTCAATAAAAAACAAAGAAGGAAAAGGCCGAAAAAGGTGCACCACATCTATTGATGACAGAAGAATAAAAAGACTATATCTCCAAGATAGAGAAATGTCATCAGCGGCCATCAGAAGTGATCTGAATTTGTGTGTTTCTGTCAGTTCAAGAACAATCAGGAGAAGATTAACAGATATTGGACTGACAGGTAGAATTCCACGAAAAAAGCCTTATCTTAATTTTCAGCAACGAAAAAAAAAGACTAAGTGGGTAAAGGAACACATTAATTCGACAGATGATCAGTGGTCACAAGTTATATGGAGTGATGAAACTAAGATATCGTTATTCGGTAATGATGGGCGAAAGTATGTAAGACGTAGAATAGGAGAAGAGCTACATCCTGACTGTATTCAAGCAACTTTGAAGAACCCATTTAGTGTTATGATTTGGTCATGCATGTCAGCAAATGGTATTGGTCGCCTTCATGTCATCGATGGGACACTGAATGCCAGAAAATACATTGACACTATTCTAGAACCAAAACTTCTACCTTCCATCAGAGATCTCTTTCCCAACAATACTTCGTTTATTTTTCAGCAGGATTCTGCTCCTTGCCACGCGGCCAAAATATCGAAAGAGTGGTTTCGTACAAAGAGTATTAAACTGTTGTCATGGCCAGGAAACAGTCCTGGCCTCAATCCTATTGAAAATTTGTGGCACTTGAAAACTCATGTCCAAATGAGGCGCCCATCAAATAAAAGGGAACTAATTGAGGCTATAATTGTTTCCTGGCATCATGTAATAATGAAAGAAGAACTTAAAACTTTTGTCAGCTCAATGAAACATCGATGTGAAGCTGTAATCAAAAATAAAGGGTACCCTACTAAGTACTGATAACTCACTGCAATCATCACTATCTAATGTATATCAATAACTATTATTGTTTAACTTTTCTTGTATTGCAAATAATTGAATTTTGTGTTTTGTATTGAATTCAGTAATAAATTCTCTTTAAAATGATATATACAAGTTTGCATTTTGTGAAATGTAACATTTTCTATAAGCATACATAAAAACTTCCAAAATACATAAAAGTTCAGAAACATAAAAACTTCCAAAAGTGTCCACAATTTCGGCCACCACTGTAGATAAACAAGCAAAAAAAATATGAATTATGATGATAATTGGAAATGCAGCTTTACATATAATTTTCTAAAATTTCAAAATGCTATTTTCTAAGTCCCTTTATGATTGATACTCTCAATGAAAATGTAAAATAATATAAACAAATAGATATGTGGAGAACCTTAATTTACGTGCATGTAATTCATGCACAAGTTTTTCTCACTTGCATTTCATTTGTTAATTGTAGTATTAGCACGTTTGTTTTTATTCAATATTTCGAGATTTGTAGGTTTTCTGTTAAAAAGATTTTTTTTATCCTTAAAAATCCTTATTTTTGGCTAGGATTTGCAATTGTCCTTAATTTTGCTCATCTGACATCCATTCCTTTTCTGTAATTTCCATTAAGCGTCCATATTAACTTGATATATATAGTTAATATATAGAATTCCTATTATATAACTCATAATAGAGCCATCACAGATTGATATGTAAATAATGACAAACAATCAGCCATCTGAGAATGAAAGTTTTATGATTGGCTATTCGCCCAGCCTTTCAAAGCAGATGTTTTGAACAAGAATACTGGCTAGCTGCATTGAAAAACATTTTATGGACTTCAGTTTTGACCTTATGATCTTGCTTTAGTCTATTGTGATATAAACATGACATTCACTATGTGTTAAGTTCAACTTCATAGAAGTTTTGTTTCTATTTACTATTATAAATAAATCTGGAAAGTCTTCAAGGATATGGACAAATGAAGGAGCAAAGAGGATTTCTGGATCAGCCAATGTTGGAGTAGTCTAAATCTGTAAAGGAAGTACCCTTTTTACTGTTGATCCCAATTTCTTTCTCTTGTTAATTTTTTCTCCTTTTTTATTTGAGATTTTCATCATTCATAAGCATGGAAAATTGCAAACATGTGTTTAATCTTGTGACATGGACTACAGAAAATATCTGTAGAAATTTTTCTGTTAATGAAGATTTTGAAAATTAAAAAGATTCATCTTGTATATCTGAACTCATCTCGTATCATTTCATAGAGTTCTCTGGAGTTATTCTCAATATTGAAATTTTTAAAGAAATAAGATGAGCAACTTCAGCACATTCTAAATACTTGCAGTTTTTAGTATAAAAAAAAATTTTTAATTAAATCTGAAAATTCAAAGATGAAAAATTATTGATTAAGAAATTGGTCACATAAAGCAAAAGGAATTCTAAGGGATGTTGATGAAAATGTAACAAATTGGCTGGTATTTTAGCAAATGATGCTGAGACTACCAAAAATATTGATTTGTTCTTTTAAAGCAAATGAATTTAGAAAAATAGTTCAGGGAAGGGAAATAGATTAGATTAGCTAAAATACCCTTAAAAATTTCATATTAAAAAGACTTAAATGTTTTGTAGGGTTGTAGAGCTTTGTACATTTTAATGTATAATTATTCTGATATCTTCCTGAAATTAAATAATATGTATGTAATTACTTGTTAATTTGAACTGCAAAATTTCCTTTAATTCCATTAAACGCTTGTAGGACATAATGCCAAAAATGCATGGTTTAGCTTTAATGGAAAAGTACTACAAAATATATAATAAAAATTATAAAATTATTGCAAAAAAAAAAAGGTAGCAGCATTTTTTTCTACATACAATTATATATATAAATATATGTATATTATATTATGCAAAAGTGAATGCAGATATATGTGTATAAATATATTCTTGTGAATATTAAATCAGTAGCAATCATAATGAATAAATAATAAAGCAATCAATCAATTTCTGAATCATCCTTCAAAATTTTTAATAATGACTAGGTTTTAAATAAATAAACATTTGTTATCATTTAAAATTTTATTTAAAAAAATATCCCCCTTCCCCTTTTTTTTATTATTATTTCTGCAATACAGATTTCTTTTATCTCCCCCCTTTTTTTTTTTTTTTTTTTTTTTTTTTTTTGTGTGTGTGTGTGTGTGTTGTGTGTGACTGTGTGCATTCTAGCATGCATATTTAAAGAAATTTTTCTTGCTTTCATACAGATATCTGGCTTTGTTCTGAATGTGACACTAATAAGGAAAAAGAAAGAAATCAGAGAACAAAATTCAGATATTCAAGTAACTTTTGTATGCATATTTATATTAATTTTTTGTAAAGGAATTTTTAAAAATGTATCACAAAAATGTAATTTTTTATGCCATCATCTGTTTTCTCCCCTTCAAAGCTGATGAGGAAAATGTTGAATCAAATATTATACCACAGCATTTCAGTGAAGAATTTTATAAGAGGTAAGGAATATCTTTCTTCACTGATCCATTTTGCATTTTGATGTGTTAGAATTTTGTATAAGTTTTGTTCTGTTATTAGAAGAAACAATTTGCATATGAATAAAAACATCCTTAAAAGAGCTACTGTTGAATTGAATCTGGATTTAAAAAATCACTCTCACCATGTAGTAAGATTAATTTTTAACTTTTTTCATGAAATGATGAGACACAGAAACAGACTTGCAATGAAGCACTTACAGAAATAAAAATTTTAGAGCAATTGAAAATAGTGTTTGATGTCACTTTATTTTATGAATCTGATACAAAAATCATTGTACCAGTAAACTTGAGATTAAATGTTATATTTTGAGATGTTTCCAATTAATTGTTTACTAATAATTTTTTATACATTATTTTAAATAATGAGTTCTCTTCATATGCTTGGACTGTTTACGCATTTCTTTTAAGGGGGAGCGAACAGAATGATTTTCAAATTTGTTAGATAAGATATTCATTGTTTGGCAAAAATAATAATAATAACTCCAATATGCATATGAACATATCTCGTGCATATTTTAAAGATGACCAATTAATTTCTGGACAAATTGTTTGTTAAGTTGGCAATTTTGCCCTAATTTAGGTTTGAAAAATGATAAAGTGCATTAAATTGATTACCATATTTGACGGCATATAAGACGCACCTTTTTTCCTAAATTTGGTCTCAAAAAAGTTACTTGCGTCCTATACGTGAAGGTAATTGCATTCAATAATTGTTTATTTGGCTTTTACGAAACGCGAGAACTAAAAGAAACCACGCTATTGAAACTTTTTTTTCCTTGTGTGTGGCCATCTAAATAAGGGTGCGTCTTATATGCCATCAAATACGGTAAATTGGAATCTGACAATATTTATTAATACTCATATTGTCACATTCCAATTGCTGGCTAATTGCAATTTTAACTGTCATAATGTCTTGAAACGAAAACGGAATTGGTTAAGCAAGAAATATATCTCTGTTGAAATTCATGGAAATAAGTTTAAATAAAGTGCAGCAAAAAATGTTTGTAATAGAGTGTACAAGGCAGTTGTAGAGTGTACATCAGATGCTTTTATTTTAATTTTAGAATACAAAAATATTAATCTTTGCATCATTTAAAACCTTACTGTAATTCAAAGGATATGTCTATGACCAAGGGTTGCAAAATTAAAGGCTGGGTAATAACTTTTGTGGACAATGGTGTGTGTGTGTGTGTCTATTTTATTATTATTAAAGAAGTAAATTTTAAAAAAATATATTGTGTGTTACAGTCTTCTTTACAGTACTGTCCTATAATTAAATTAGAATGTATGAAAGTATATTTTTTTACCTGGTGTACTTTTTTATTGATACAAGGGTCACTCTGAAATTTTTGAGGTACGCATATATTTTTAAAGTTTTAAAATAATATAAACAAATAGATTTTAGCAATTTTAGGAGTGTTCAAAGTAGTCTCCTCCAACATTAGTGCACTTCTGCAAGCAAACTTTCCAGAGATTAAATGCCTCAAGCCATTCACATCTTGGAATCGATGAAACAAGTGCATTTAAATCGAACTTTGTAAAGATGTTCAAGCGGATATAGATGTATTGAAAGACAAAATTTTGAAGTTGCAGATGATAATTGCTGAGTTGAGATCTTGCGATTCAGAAATACTAGATTCAATGATTAAGGGAAAAGCCGCTGAAGGTGATCTGGAAACAGAGATCATAGGCTGCAAAGAATATTCAGATGAGTTTATCACGCTTAATCGGCGAATGAAAGAGAATATAGATAATACGGTTGACCGTAGTGTCAATATGAGTTCTAACATGGATAGTAGCATAAGTGCTTCTAATGAAAAACAGTACAAGTTGTCAATGAAAACAACATCCCTGTAAGTTCTTTTGTAGATTAAAAAATAGCCAAAAGTCACACATAGTTAGATTATGTAAATAGGGTTGTTGTTCTGTGTTTTTGTTCAGCAAACTTAACTGTCAATCTTGCTGAATTAGAAGATGCATTATCATGGTGAAGCAGGAGTCCTCTAACATCCACTTCTTGAAGAATAAATGGAAGATACTTAGTGGTGTACCTGTTAGCTGTGACTCTCTTCTGTCCTTCTAGCTTGATAGCTTTGACCAGTCCTGAACTTCTGATGAAAATGACATATATTAATTCTTTCACAGCATGTTGTCTTTTCACTATTGTGGGTGTGGGATCATCTTCAAAGATTTTTACTTTCTTGATGTGTTGGAATATCAAAAAATGTTGTGTATTTCATCACCAATTACAATTTTAGAAATAATTTAGTGGCTACCATTTTTAACTAATTTAAGAGTTTCTTCACTGATCCTGACATGATCTTCTTTTCGGTGCTCACTTAAATTATGGGGAACCCAACGACAAACTAGTTTTTTCATGTGCAATTCTTCAGGAATAATTTCATGTATGTTAGCAGATCCAATGTTAAGTTCCTTCTATATCATTTGGTAGGTGCAGTGGTTATTATCGATTAGCATTTTCTGTATGGCGGACACATTATCCAGGATTATTGTTAACAACAACCTTCCTGTGTGTTCTACATCCTGATGAGAGTTGCGACCTCTGTGAAATTCTGTAAACCATCTGTATATTGTAACACGAGATGGACCTTCATTTGCAAATGCTAACTGTAGATGTTAGATGAATTTTTCTTGATTTAATCCCACGTTAAAATCATAGTGCATTAATGTTCTCATGTCAACTCCTCTTTTCCTTCTGCCTAAAATTTATTCTACGCTAAACTAATTGCAGTTGGCCAGTAAAAATTCATCTGCTAGCTCAAAATAGTTCATATTTTTATATGTAGCTGTTAATCTTTTCTGCTATTTATTGGCTGCACGTATCTTAAAAGTGACCTATCTTAAAAGTATCAGAGTGACCTCTGCATTTGAATTTAATATGCCATTATTCTAGTGCAATTTTTAAAATGGTATGTTGGTAAATTATAATTAGGTATTGTATTTGAGTATGCTACTTTTTTGCATTAACTAATGTGCAGATGTTTTTCCAGGGAATCAATTAAAATTATTTTATTCAAACTGAAGCATATATTATGTGTCTTATGCTAATAAGGCAAATAGCTCTCAGATACTTTGTAGTGATAAATTATTCTGCCTGCTCTGGGGGATGATTAAATTTTTATGGTGTTTACTGTCTTTGCAAGATTATCACTCAAAGTTTTAGAAGCTTATGAAAAGTTAAGATAATGAAAAACAGTCAAAGAAAATATAAACTTTTTTCAAGAAAGGTCAAGGAAAATATAAAATTTTTCAACTAAGTGTGGAAAGTTTAGGAAAAAAAAGTACAGATGAATTCTTTCTAATAGTACAAAATCAACAAAATTATCCTGCTTAAACAAATGAAGAAGAACTGTAATCTTTGTTTTCTGTGCGGGAAATATTCATTTCATATCATTAAAAAAAACTTTTTTAAAATTGTTTAGATGCCTATTTCATATTTATATTTTAGTATTTATGTATTAATGCAGCTTAATAATTGTTAGGTGGTTAAGACTGCTGAATATTGGAAATTTGATCCCAGGTGAGGAAACTAGCTGCGTGGTTGGTTTCAATGACTTTATGTGTGTGCAACATGAACACTGTAAAGTTTCCCTTCAAAACTAACACCACAAAGTCAACCATCTACCTAGGAAAATAGCCCTTATCTATTTTGACCTAGTATTCAATAATTTAACCTAACCTTTTGTATTAGTGTAACCACCCCAGCACATTTTAGATCCTTTTTACAGAAGAAAAAGAATGATGAATTATAATAATAAAAATTATTATATACATAGTGTTACGAATTTTGCATTTAGATAGCTAATTTTAGTAGAATTATAATTAAAATTGTTGTATTCTCCCCTGCAATGCAGCGCAAGGCAAATTTTAAGAGAAAGCTCTGTTGGAAACGTAAAAATACATAAGCACGTTCAGTTAGCATTTAATAAGCAGGTATTTCTTTAATTTGTATTGAAATTGAATAAATGTAATTGACTACTATCTTAGCTGTAACTGTAATTCCATGCTCTTATTGCTTTCCAGAAGTCTCAAGAAGCAGAAAATACTGGAAATCTCTCATGCCGGTTGAAAACTATAAAAGACCGGAGAGAGAGCGTCTCAGTTAATTTGCTTAGTTACTGTTATTGCGATTTGTTTAGTTCCGCGGGAACTAAGGTATCTGAATTAGCTTTCTCTTTAGATAACACTTTGCATTGTGTTGTATTTTAACGTTTTTAGTAGTTTGAAGTATACCTACTCAAGTGTTCTAATATATTTCTTTTGATAAGTTTTATTAACATATTATTGTACTTATGCAGTCAATTTATTACGAACGTGTGCACAGGCGACAATATATATATTTGTGTATTGTATGCTACAGTTAGATATTTATTCTGAAAATTAATAAATAAACCTACTTCATGACAACCACTTTTGAATTAGATTCAAAGTAATTATTCCAGTTGGAAACCTGATCTTAGCATCACATAAATTCTATTAAATGCAGTTCCTTTTTATTACTCATTTTGTGGATCTCTGTATGCAATGAAAAGAGCATATACAAAAATGGTGACTTGTTAAAACTGAAACATTGTTACTTGTTTATTTAATTCATAAAGTCTGGAGGCTCTTTTAAACCCTACGAGTGGCATAACTAGCTTTGAGAGGTTTTTTGGTCATGAGATTTTTTGTCACTTGGCACATATTAGCTTATAATTTAAGATTTTGCTTTCTTACTTTCTTTAATGATGTAAATGTCATTTTAATGAACGTTAAGTTTATAAAAATAGGGACTAAAATAAGTAATTATACAAATTTAGCTAATAAGTGCAGGTCTTTATGACAGATAAAAAATCCTCCACTGCTTGGAGGGTTAAGGTGGTTGCATTAATATGTAAGTACTTATATATCTTGAGAATTTTTTGTAGTGCTTTTGATTATTGCATTGCATTTTGTAATATACGTATAAAATTATTCTATTCTCATATATAGTTTAAGTACTACTTCATTGCATTTGATCACACAGTTCTATTTGGTCATGGAAAGGTCATTTAAATTAGAAGTAGTATTTCAGTAGGACTGTGCATTGATTTGCATAAATTAATCAAATGGTATAGGGATTCTGAACCGGGTGGGGAAGGCAATTCATTGTGTCAGAGGGGTAATGCAGTCAGCATTTTATTTACCAGTTGAGTATTTAGCTTTAGTTTATGAAATAAAAAAATTACTTTATTCAAATTTTGGAATTTATCAACATTTTCCATACTTTTTCTTGTTTAATTTATAAAATACATTAAAAATAATGTACATTTAATTACATTTATGTGCATTTTTTTTAGTTTGGGAAAGAAGAGGGAAGAATGATTGTTTAGCAATGGTGAAATGGGTGCATAGGACAAAAAATAGTTCAGAATGACTGATATAATAACAACGTAATGTTTGGGACAAGTTGTTGGTCTTCTTTACATATACATTCATAACATAGTGTGTTCAGTCAGCATATGGTAATAATGGTTAATGCTTTTGGTATAATTCAAATGTATTGAAAATGTTTTTTTTTTAGCCTAGAACAATACCCGTCTTCTGTACCTATGGCTAAGAAATGGACAATAGAAAATGTAGAAGCGTTTTTTAAGTATATAGGATTTGAAGATGAAGCACCAGCATTTCGAGAACAGGTAAATTCGAAATTTAGTTCATTTTATGGGCTATATACTTGAAATTTATCATGTTAAACTGTGCACTGCATTGAACATGAATATGAAATTTATGAACCCATTCTTTTTCTCATAATAGTGTCACATATCAAAATTTCAGTTTCACATTATACTAAAAAAAAGTACTGCAGGTGTAGCAGTCATGTACCTTCTATGCATGCACAAAATCATTAAATTTGTCAGCTATGAAACTCAGTCTGGAACATGTTTTTCTGTTATATCCCTAAAAATATCCAAGGGAGTGTGAACCTTTGAGTCTAGGCAACTAAGTAGTTATATCGTCTAACATAGTCATATGGGACGTGTAAATGTAGCTGTCTGACTGAAATACATTATTCTATGAAAATAATCTGTCAGAGTCTTTATGAAGTTTAGTTTGGGAGGAGGTTCTGCTTACAATCCTGTGGTTTAGTGGCTGAACCCACTAACCAGAGTGCCTGTTGTAATGCAGGGTTCAAATGAATTTCCAACTCAAGTTATGAATGACAACATGAATGAATATGAGAAACTTAACTTTAATAGATTCACTTAATAACAGTCTGGGACTTGGATACACTCAGTCCAATAGTTTCAAAGATTGCTATGACAGGTATGTGCTAAGTCAGAAGCATACCCAATAATCATAGCTCGTCCATGCATATTCCTATCATTCAGGCAGCAGATGCTCTTTTGAAATCTCCGTCACTATAAAAACTTGACCGACTCTCATGGTGTCTCATGTCACTTTCACTCAATCGAGGGGGGGGGGTTTCCTCCTCTGCTAGACAACAAAAGGTAACCACATTCCAACCCCAGTGAAAGAGTGTCTATCCTAGGAACCGATGGGGTGACCTTGGAGGATAAAACCAGAATTATAGTCTGTCTATAATAAGAAAAGCTCTCGCCAGTTAGTTTGCAGCTGTCTGTTGCCCTGGAAACGAGCCTTGGCCCATTTTCCACAGTGGTGTCTTAAAGACCAATGATAGCTCTTTTCTCCTCAGCTAACAGTCTTAAAAAAATAGCAACCCTTGGCTCGCCCCTATTTGAAATATACTATTTCTGTTGCTATAGCGACCGCCACCTGCCAGAGACTGTGGTGGGAACTGTTCTTCTCATAGACAGACAGTAACAATGTGACCTTGTGGGCACTAGATTTCTCTTCTAGTTTAAAAAAAGGCATGATTGCATTCTTAGTCCCCTGAGCGAAACCAAAAATCTATGCGACTTTGTCACAATCCCAGATCATCTCAAATATACCTTAAACCATACCTGAGCCATGCCTGAGCCATAAGCTGTGCATTTATGACTAGTTGCTAATGAACCTTAGTTGCTGTCATTGCTACATTATTTTCATCACAATAATTCAGTTTTAACCTGGATTCCTTGCTCGTAATTTATTATTAGAAAGCTTTACTAATAAGGTGGTGATTAGTGTTATCGTTCTCTGGCTGAGTAAAAGTAGTAAATAAAACATTATACCATTAAGAGCTGGATTTTAAAGGACAGCTTTTTCTTCTGAAATAATTTCAAGGAAAGTTAAATTTCTCTAAAAAGAAAGTTGTAAACTGTACCATTCACGTTTCATTTAATAAATAAAATATTTTCAGTCTGACAAGCATAAAAATATTTATAATAGCTCTAAAGTGAAAATACAAAACTGAGATGTGTGGATTTATGTTTTCATATCAGTGAGAACATATCTGCATGCACGGCAATATCATAGAGTATTTCATAAGCCATGCATGCACTGGGATCTTTTATGCATGTGTTTAAAAACTTGATAAAATGAAATGGAGTTATCTGATAGAATTCTTGATTTATCAGATTTCAAAATTCTCTAAAAACTTGTTAAGATACTTTCATGAGATTTATGTTATAAGGTTTTGCTGATAAATTAGATTTTTTAATAAATCTCATACAGCTTGTTTTACAGATAATGAGAAAATTAAGCAAAAGGATGAAATGATACCAAAAAGAGAGAGTATTTAAGTTGCTTATGCATTGATGTTGCCATTTAGCAAACTGTATACAATCATTGCTGACAAGTGAGCTTATTATGAAATTTCTTCATGCTATAAGTATCATGACACTTAAGAAATATTGAGTCCGTATTGATTTTGGTCCTTGCAATTTTTATATAAGCAGTCCAAATTATTGTGTACCATTTTAATTCTTATAAAACTACCTAAATGCTAGAAAAAATTTCAAGTGTGCAGAGAGCTGTAGGTAGTGTATGTAGAAGTTTGATACTTTGATATTTGTTACTGGACAATCTACATTGTATATTTCATAAAAGCCATATTAATGCAAGTTCCTTCTACTCATAAAAAAAGTAACAGCTCATTTCTAATATCATTTTTATAAGAACATTATACATCCAGTTCTGTTTTTGCACAGTTTCTAACATAGCTTAAATAGCATCTTTTGAACATTCTCCATGTGAAGTTAGTTCTTAAAAATTTTCTGAATATTTATAACAAAAGATAACATTTAATATCCAGGCTTTTCAATGTAGCTTTGACTGTTGGAAATATTTTGTGCTATAAAATCCCTAAATCGAAAACTAAACTAGAAAATCTGTATAACAATGTTCTTTAATATTTTAAAAATCAGTGAACTTGCATGAATTTTATATTAGCTTAGAATACATTTAAAAAAATAAACCCAGAAAAATGTCAGCAAAATTGAGTAAATTATTACTAGAATGTATTTAATGGAGATTTTTAATTTTATTTCTGAAATGGCTTTTTGTTTTCAGGAAATTGATGGTTTGTCTCTACTCTTGATGAAAAGGAATGATGTTATAACAGGTTTAGGCCTGAAGTTGGGTCCTGCAGTAAAAATTTATAAACACATTCGTAATCTACAAGCAAAAATTACTGATAATTAGAACCAATTTTATTTATTATGTGTAGCATATTTGATTCTTATTATTGGCAAAGGGATTTTTTCTTGCCATTCTAAAATAAGGAAAAAGAAAAGTAATTTTTAATGGTTTTCACATTGTACAAATGTAAATAATGCATGTAGCATCATAAAAGTGTTGTTCTCTTTCAGCAACTTGTAAAATGTTTTGTTTAAAAATGAGTCAACTTGTAGTATTAAGTAAAAAAAAAAAAATCATATTTATGTTATTGTAAAATGTAAGAGAAATGAAAGTTTGCTTCGTAGAATTTTTTAATGAAGGTTAAATATATGTAATGAAAATTAGCATAATTCTAAAATACACTTAGATGTAGTGGGCTGAAAAATGTGAGAAATCAACTTGATTATCACTGAGGTTCAAATCGCAGACTTTTTGCTAGTTGGATGCACCACCTGTTATGCCATCAGAACATACATGGGTGGGGTACAATAATTCTTTATATTCTTGCTGAGAGAGGGCAGAATATGTTTCCCTAATGGAAAGATATGTCACAAAACATCTTAAAATGCCTTTCCCCCCCATGGAATTTAATCAAAGACTGCAATTTAATTACTGTGCTTCCCTAAATATCAAATGGCATTACTCACATTTTTAAAGATGTTGCGCAAGAGGAAAATAGTTTGCATCTTGAAGAGCCCTTTCTATATGTATAGGCAGTATGTTAATAGTGTGCTAATTACATATACATTAAGTTAAATATCATATATACATTAAGTTAAATATCATATACATTAAGTTAAATATCATAAAACACCTACCAATAGTGTGTAACAGACACTCGCTAAGCTCTATGATGATAGCTGTGAATACAAAGGTTTTCTTTCAGGTACCACAAACAGAAAGCAAATTTTGCAGTTAATGGACTTTTTGAAGAAATGTAGAAAAGTGGTAATAAATAAAGATCTGGATATAATAGAAGTTTTTTATTGTGATGTTAAAGCTTCAATCATCAATCAGCTAACAGGAACCGAAATCTGTAGTATGATTCTAAATCCCTAAAATATAACTTCCAATTGTGAAAAACGTGATGGAGACGTTCTTGAGAGCGAAAAAACTTTGATGAACAGTTTAGTCTGTTTTCCTGAGGTCTTTGGTAATTATATATACATTGAGTTAAATATCATATTTTAAGATAAAATGCAATATATTTGCTTGGTTTCAGATAAAAAATTAAGTGATAAATTCAGATATTTAAATCTACAAAAGCATGTGATTTAAAATTTAGAAAGGCATGTTTATGACCGTATCAAATTTTTGTAATGAAGCATTTAAAATCTCTCAATCTGAATGTCCTTTAGAAAGATTAGTAGTATGGGAAGAAAGGTGCAAGCCCTTAGAATGCATTTCATGGAATGCTGTTGGTCAAAATGAGCTTATAGTCCAGGCAAATAGCCTTCATGCATAATCATCTGAATCATTGCCCCCCCTTTTTTTTTTCTTTAAGTTTCAAGTACAGGATGTGTAAAGTTTTCAAATGGACATTTTGAGAAGAAAATATTTTATTTTAGACAGATAAACATAATATTTGTGTTTTAACTACCATATATTCCAATATATAAAGCACGCCAGTGTATAACGCACACCTGTATTTTCAAACTTCATTCTTTAATTTTTAAGAATATTCGCTGTATAACGCACATCCTTTTCTCTGTGAAGAAACTTGAAATATACATGTGTGATGCTGTTATCTTCTGAAGTCATTCAATCAAAGATTTTTCGTGGGCTTTCTAACAATGTTTATTGAATTGAGAAATGATAAAGGGAACAATATGTATGTGGAAAAGGGCTAAAGGAAGTAAATCTGCAAGAAGACTAGGTGTATGCAATACAAGTGTGCACAAGAATGTTATTCTAAAGTTTTGAGAAAAGGGGAACATAATATGAGATATGAATGTACTTCCAATGCGAATGAATTCGCAGAAAAAGGGAGTCAGAAGTTTTCTCTCCCTGTAGTCACTTGAAGCTGTGATTTTGAAGTGAACATCGAAGGCTTATGTAAATTGCATTTGCTTTAGCTAAAAATCAGTTGAGCTAGTATTATAAAGTATTTCCCCCCCCTTTCTGCATGCCTTCATGGTGTAATGGTTAGCACACTCAGCATGGAATTGAGAGGTCCAAGTTTGAGTTCCAGCTAGGACATTGCTAATTTTTTACCTTTTGTGCTTAAAAACAAAAAAATTATAATATCTGTACAGTGGTGCCTGAACTAAAAGGTGGTGAATGATGATTCTTCACCACCAGGATTTAGCAGTTGGGTCCTTTAGCCCCCAGTTGCTTTTTAAAAAGGGGAATATACAGTACAATGTCCGAAATCCAGACTCGTTGGGACTTCGATGATTCCGGCTTTGGGATTTTTCCAGATAATAGATCATCAGTTTAAATCTAGTAAAATGGCATGTAGAAATTATGAAATTAAAAATATGAAATCATGATTTATGAAATGATGAAGTACTTATAATCTAAATGTAATCTTTGGGTTTATGAGCATCATTATCAAAATCTATTTTTAGCATATGGAAAGAGATTTTTGGTAAATTTTTTCTCATCAACAGTTTTTAGTCCAACTGAAATCTGTAATCATCACCAAGTCAACATAAAAGGTTACCACACTCCTTTATTATTCAAATACTAACATAAAAAAATTGTTTAGCTATCGCTACATGAGTCATTGCTCAAATTGTCATGTTTTGATAAACATGCAGTTATGAAAGGAAAGTATAATGGATAATGATTCGCCAGGTTGGCATCAGATCAATGATGTAAGCTATCTATGTGGAATTTTTCGGTTTGAGATGTGTGCCAAGCAAATACGCAGCAATGGAGCCAAATTACTGATCGTACAAATTTATGCTAAAATTGTTTCTTTAATAACAAGGTATTTTAATTAATGGTCGAAGTGAAATTAAAAATAGGCACTCTCCAGATGTTTTATTATGTGCGGAGGGGGAAATCAAATGTGCATGCGTAAAGCCTCCAAGAAAAGTTTTGTTGGTGGTTTTGAGGATAACGGACGTCTGGATTTCGGACTTTGTACTGTATAAGATTCTAAGCACTGGCTCCTAGCCCACCTAGCAGGCGAAACCTGCCATATAGCTATGAGGGGAAGGAGTATATAAAGTATTAGTATTAACACACACAGCCCCCAGTCCACCTAGCCAGCCATATGACTGAAAGGAGGACTGGCCAATCCAGCCAAAAACGAGGGAGCCAGCAGCCCGGCTGCACCCCGCTCCCTAAAAAAAAGGACCAAATCAGCAAAATGAAACTAGTCCTAAAGAAATCAGGTCAAGGCCTCGAGTAACGGGGGGGGGGGGGGAGTTGTAGGTGTATATAAGATATTTTCTCCCTTCTTTCTGCATGCCTTTGGGGTGTAAAAGTTAGCAAACTTGACATGCATTTGAGAGGTCCCAGTGAGGGAGTTGCTAATTTTTCACCTTTCCTGCTTAAAATAAAAATATCCTGGTGTCTCTACAGTATTCTTTTTAGTAGTAAATATGGCTTCTGCCAAATGAAACAAATATAGTACTGGTTTCAAATTTAAAGTCATTCAGTTTATGAAAGGAAATGGAAATTATACTGCAGCAAGGAAGTTTGATATTGGTAAAAGCTCCATTACGTGAATGGAAGAAAATTGATATCACAGTAATTAATATGCCAAATAATGAATATGATTTGCAGAAAAGGGTAATGAAATGGCCTCTCCAAAAAGAAAGTGTTGCCAACTGTGTACTAGAAAATCACCAAAATCTCTAGTAAGAGCATTTAGGTACATGCAGAAATCTTTTTTTTTTTTTTCTTTTTTTAATGCTCATTTTTTCCTTTAGACCTATAATTTTTATATCCAGCATATAATGCGCACCCATGAATTTTAAGCTCATTTTTTGTATTGAAAGTGCACGTTATACATCAGAATATACTTGAATATTTTATAGAAAATTTCACTCTAAAATCTGCATATCTTATTTAAGATATCCTGTCAGAGTTCCAATTAACTTCTACTAAAGTGTTAAATATATGATCTGTTTTATTATGTTTTGCATAAATCCATTAATAATTTAAAATATGATTGAATGCTTCTTTATATTAAGTACATATTTGTAGTTTTGGAATAATGCATTTTTTCAGATTTTAATTCTTCATGAGTAACGATAACGTTTTCAAAATTTCTTGAAAATCACCCTAAATCATACATTTTTTCAGAAATTATATGAATTGATTTAGAATTCAATTAATTTTGTTGTATCATGCATGAAAATAGCATGGCATTGTAAATCAAATGTTGTATTTTTCGCTGGCTACTTGAGGCCAATAGAAATTACAGTACTTAATAATTTGTCTGAACTTAAAATGTTGTGATAAAAATTGAAATAAAATGAATAAGTATTTCATGTTAAATTTTATGGAACTTTTCAGTTTTTGACATTTTTTTAAATGAAAATTTTTTAATATAAATATGTATATGTACTGCAACTATTGTTATATCTAAAAGCTTGTATTTGTAACTTTATTTTCTGAATTATTGCTTTTAAGTCCAAATAAATATAAATATTTACACATTTTAAATGTGAAGTTATTTTCTGTTGTGTTTAAAAGTGTTTTATAAAACCATTGTCAGTTGGTCTATTTCAATTCGAGGTTAAAAATTTATTTATTATAGCAACATAATTATTGTAAAATTTATCTGATAATGTGGAAACATGAGGAATCTCCTGTTCTGATCAGTTGAGAAATGAAATTTGAATTTTTTCCTACCTGAAAGGTAAGAAAAGTTGTATATTAAACTTACAAACAGGCCTGCAGCAATGTACATTTTTGAATACAAAGTCAGATTTTTCTGGTATTGATTTTCTTCTTCAGGATCAGTTCCGTACTTGATGTGCCTGATTACTAAATTTTGTAAAATTTCCTTTAACACTAGAAGTGCCAAGCTTTCTCCCTACATAGAAGTGCCAATGGCAGTCAAATTGACTGCTCAGCGAATTCAGTGTATATATCAAAATGTAAATGTTTTATAATGCTTTTAAGAACTTCTTTAAAGAATAACAGATTGTTTTTATAAAAAAATAGATATGTTATTATAAATTTCAACTTATCCTTAATAAAACGCATTTTAAAGCATTTTGCAATTTTTACATGTCTTTTGCTTGCCAGAAGTGAATTTTCCGCGATATGAAAATTTTTTACACACATCACTTGTTTTGTTGATGTTACAAAGTCCATTCTGGCACTGACGAGTTTTCTTTGAGAGTCTATTGCTAGAGTTAGAAATTTCCTGGGCAATTTTGAACTTTTCTTCTGTTTAAATGAAGCTCTCTTAACTCCTCTGCTAATTGAAATAGGAAGCTGTGCCTTGTAATTTTTTTATCACTCAATTTATGGTTGATAACGTAGGCATTCATTGAAGCAGCTGCAACAGAATATTTATACATCTTCTAGTCAAGGATATCAACTCCACATTTGGTTTTGTTTAAAACTCTGTTGTTTCCAGGAGTTTCTTCTTATTTTGTGAGTCTATGTTTACACTCTGATATAAGGTACTTAGCAGTAGGACAATTTTATTCATTTTTCTCTGATAGACCCTCAGTGTAGTTTCACCATTCTTTAGTGAAACTGTTTCAAATAGCCGGGTATTTGATTTCCTTACTTCATGCGGAATTTATTTTCGATGACTTCTTCCTGTGCCCACAAAACTTGTGTTTTTCATTTTAAGTCTTTTATTTAAAGATAATGAGGAAAAATAATTGTCTACAGTCAAATTTCTACCTGAATTCAGATTGTTACATTTTCAGAAAGACTTTCACTTCCTGATGTATCTTTTCCAAGATATGGAAAAGCATTGCATATAAACTTTGGGTCTACAATGACTAGCATCCAAAATTTGCTATGGAATTTGTCTGGTTTATTCAGCATATGCTGCATAAACTTACACCTGGCTTTGGATGGAAATAACTGCTCATCCACACTAGATTTTCTCCTGGGTTATAGGTAATCACACAATTCTGTATAAAATTTATTCCAAATATCTGAAAAAGTGCAAACTTATCACTTTCTAAACACTGAGTCCTAGTTGACAAGTCAAATCTTAGATATTTCATAATGCCTCGGAAAAATTGAGACATTGTTTCTCGAAAAAAAAAGAGGACCCTTTATATTATTCCACAAAAATCATAATCCATATCATTGCAACCATATGCTCTTTTTGCATAAATAATAGGAATAAAAGAATCAAGTTCTTCTAAAAATGATGTCCAATTTTCTTCATTGTTCAAAATTGCCTGTGCTTCCATGCACTTTTGAAAAGGGCATAACATCAATTCATCCACAAACAACCTCCAAACACTTGACACATTGCCCCGGACACATCTTTTTACATAAAATGTTGGATCTGACATTTCTTTTTGCACATTTTGAGCTACATATTTCCCAGCTGTAGAGTATGAAGTAGATGTCACAGTCCATGAGGTTCCATCTTTTGGGACATAGATAGAGCCTTCTTCATGGTTTTGAAAAGACATCCTCTTTCTCGTGCATATCTTGAATTAGGTAAATCATGTTTTCTCTTTGATTCTATATTGATGACAAAATATTTGCTGTGGATATATATCAATGGGCTGAAAATCATGGCCCAATGATTTTTTCTTCTGTGCTGTCTTCAGAATCACTAGAACTATTATTTACTTCAAAGTTTTGCAGAGGCTCATAATCCATATCATCATCAATATTATGTTCTTCAACATGAAGATTCATTTTCAGATGAATCCTGTAAAAGTTGTACAATTTTTTCGGGACTCAGATTTAGGGGTTTTCAAGTTGCCATTACAGTGTGCTTGAAAGAATGAAATGCCATGAAACATAAACTCACTCAACTACTGCAAACTACCAACTATAACATTTCACCAAAAAGAGTGGACCATTGACAGGGAGGCGGGGAAGATGGGAAATATTTCCTGTTGTAAATAAACAGTGAATGAAAAGGAATGTGTAGACCAGATGTTTTTCTAACAAAAGGTGTTTTCTGACTGGAAGGGAAGTATATATCATGTTGTAAATAATCAGTGAATGAAAGGAATGTGTATACCAGATGTTTTCCGAAGAAAAAGTGTTTTCTGAGCGATGTAGCAAGATAAATCTACCCAGTATTACTAGCAGCCAATATGACTGCTTGTGGCACTTTTAGGTATAACTAATAATGTCTTTGTTAATTTTTATTTTATTCGATTCACATTTGGTACCAATAATTTTTTAAGTTTTTTTATAAAAATCCAAAAATTTGATATTTAAGGTAAGGGGTTTTTAGGAATTCAAGGTCAAAATGACTGCTCTGGCACTTCTAGTATTAATGTTAAAAAGTAAAACTCAGGATTTTATTTTCATAAATTATATTTGATTTATATTTCTTTTATTATATTTTAAGTGAACTTTATAAATTTTATAGAAGGAAAATTTTGATTCATACAATGATTATTTATTCATGCAATAATTATTTTGAGAGGTATCTCAAAATAAATGTGTGTATTCATAAACTGTGAGAGTGTTGTTCAGGAGAGAAGCGAAGTGGCTAAATTTAAAAGCAAGTATTTTAATTCTGATAGCATATGTGTCCTATTTTTAGGTGACTTAATATTGATGTTTTCAAACAAGAAAAGTCTTTTTCTGAAATAAATTTTTTCTTATTATTATATAGCTGAGAAGCATATCTGAAAATGAACTAAATATCTGAAATGAACTAAAATGAAAATAGAAAGAAGTAATTCAAAATTTACACGCAAAACTAATGATGATTTGCAATATGCCTACCAAATTGTGTTGTTAGAAATCTTTAACATTTACCACTTAAATTTCCTGATATGCTTTTGCAAGCAATGTTCTAGTAATGCTTTCTTCATTTTGTCAAGTTTTGAATTGTTGTATTGTTTTGTAATTCATGTAATTATAAATATTTTTTGCAAGTACAGTATCCACCATTCATTAAAATCACTTTCATTCCAAATGTATGCGAGTTTATTAAGCACCTGAGTTTAATAGCCAGTAATAAGTACTGCAAGTTGTGATATCAGTTTTAAATTTTTTCAAGTAAAATCATAGCTAATAGCTGTATTCAAGAATGAATTCTGAAATAATAACTATAAATACTGCCCAAACTAAAGTGTATACACAATTTTGAAATTCATTTTTTAATTTTTTGTAAAAATATTATAATTGCATTCCTGGTGAAATTTTATCTTTTATAAACATCTATTCTATTTGTGATTGTTTCATATCATTTGGCAACACTTTCTCAATTATATTCCTAATTTCATAAAATTGCTGGCAGCTTTTTGGATCATAATCTTTCAGTTCGAGGCTTTTTCTTATAACTTGCAGTGTTTTTCGAGATTCAGTCGATGATTGCATTTTCTTTATCACTTTTGCTGTCAGTTTTTGCAGTTATTTTACCACTTTTATATTCAGTTTTTATACAGATTGTCTGAATGTTGTTGTGAATTGACAAATATTCTAAAAAGGAAATTTTATAACTTCCTTCACTGATGTCTGAAACATTAGCTGTAGTTTGCAGTTCCTGTGAGGTTTTTTCTAGATAAAAGCCACATTTTTGAAAATGTAATTGGTTTTAAGAGATTAATTTCGTGCATTGACTGTAATATGCATACCCTCTAGCAAAGATATCAGCTTACTTATATCTTTTGAAGTGCTTGCGTTTTTAAAAAATTCAGTTCTGTTCATCATTTTCTCAACGCTCTTTCTGTAATGACATACAAAAGGTATTATAATACTTTAAAATTAAATGGATGTTGGAAGCAGTGTTTGGTGGAAAAAGACACTGTTTTTCAGAAACAGTATGTATTGATCAGTATATATTATCAAAGGTGCATATGCTGCACAATTATTTCATTTGTAAAGTTTATATATATATATAATTATCAGTTTGCTGTTCTATTTTGAAAGAAAATGAATAAAAATTCTGCTTTTCACCCAAAAGTTCTTTTTGCTATGATAAGTCAGAAGTAAAATCTTTACTCCTTTCAAATGTCAAATTCCCTGCTTTTATCAGTAATCAGTGCTGTCTCCTTAATTTTTGCATCTATTTTACACATTAATAACACAATAACTTATTCCTTTAGTTTCTTAAACTAACAGCTATTTTGCTTTTAAATATTAATGTATGTTCTGTAACACAGCCCACTTTCGTCTGCAGCCTTAAGATAAGAAAATTTTGCCCTCTGAATTCCATTGCTGGCAAGAACTCTTAAAACAAGGATTCATAGGTACAGGGATAGGAAGGGTTTAAAAAAATTCAGTCAAATTCATTTTATTGTTACATGCTTGATGATAAAACTACATTCCACAGTAGGTTGGATGGATGAACTATGAAAAGCATTGATGGCTTATTATAAGAAGTTAAGAATTCCTGTAAAGAAGAAAGTGAACACTTCTTACCTCACAGGGCTGTGAACACTTCTTACCTTATAGGACTGTAGTGAAAGAAAATTCCACTACAAAAGTTAGACCGGTTTTTGATGGATCGGCCAGAGAAAAGAACTCACCCTTTATCAACGACTGCCTGGAAAAGGGTCCCAACACCGTCGAGCTCATTCTCGCCATCATGAATCGATTTAGATTAAAGAAAATAGGCGTTGTTGCGGACATTCGTAAAGCCTTCCTACAAATTGGACTGAGTGAGAGTGATCGACCATATCTAAAGTTTTTATGGTGGGAGGGTGGTGATTCTGCCAAACCTAAAGTTTTCCAGCATAGACGGGTTGTGTTCGGACTTCCATGTTCCCCGTATCTTTTGGGAGCAACCATTCCATTTCATTTACCGAATGCTCCTAACCGTTTTGAAAAAAAAAAAAAAAAAAAAAAAAAGCCACTGAGCTGTTGGAATCCTTTTACGTGGATAACTGTGTTACCAGTGTGGAAAATCCCGAAGAACTTGAGGAATCCAAGCTGGTTCTTAGCACTACCAAAATCGAACTTCGAGGGTGGGAGCAAAGTTATAATAAGACTGAAGACCCTTTGCCTAAAAATGAAAAGAATATTCCAGTTCTAGGGCTTCAGTGGAACTTAAAGAATTACTTTTTGACGGTAGATTTACGAGAAAATGTTGAAGACGATACGGCCGTGACAAAAAGAAAATCCTGTCAACCGTACATGAAATCTTTGATCTCCTTGGCTTCACCTGTCCTGTTACTTTGGGACCAAAAGTCCTCCTACAAGAGTGTTGGAAATTGAAAATATTATGGGATACTGAACTTCCTACTACCATTGCAAAGAAATTTGAGAAGTGGAGAAGGGAACTTTCTAAGCTGAAAGAAATAAAAATTCCTCGATGTCTTATTCTCAATTGTGAAGTACCAAAAAGTCTAACATTGCATGTATTCTGTGACAATGGTTCTAATTTTTCAGGAGCTGAGAATTTTCTGAAGAAAATTGATTGGGTCGTCATTTCCCAATACAGCGGATCTCAAAAGGTCATTTGGGAATTTAATCCCCCGTCTGCCCCATGGTGGGGTGGATGGTGGGAACGTCTGATAGGTATAATGAAAGGAATTCTGCGAAAGGTTCTAGGTAGAAGCTCACTTAATTTAGAAGAAATGAACACCGTTATTTGTGACATTGAAAGTGTGATTAATCAGCAACCTTTAACCTATATTTCGTAAGACGTTGATGATTTAACTCCACTTACCCCTTCTATGTTTTCGCATGATTTAAAGAAACAGGAATTCCAGATCTTGATATTCTGGATTCGTCATCGTTAAATAAAAGACATGTTTACCGTCAGCGTGTGGAACAAGATTTAAGAAAACGGTTTCTTACTGAATATTTAGGGAATATACGCCAATCATCGAAATCTCATAAAAATCAGAAACCCATCCAAACTGGTGATATTTGTTCTGGTTTCTAGTGACAATGTCAAGAAAATTGAATGGCTTCTGGCTAGGGTGGTCGAACTCTATCCTTCTAAAGATGGACAAGTTCGCTTAGTAAAAATAAAAATGAAAAACGGAGAATTTCTCCGCCCAGTGCTTTGGTTAATACCTCTTGAAGTGACTGATAAAAGTGACCCCGTTATACCTGTAGCAGAATAGGATTCTATTCTTAATGAACCGAAGACTGATGAAAATCGTCTTTCAGAGACCACTGCTGACAACTCAGTACTAGCTCAAAAGATAACTCCTTCTAAGCAACGAACTGTTAATGATTTCTCCCCCCCCCCAATAAAAAAGATCCAGATATGGACAATTAATTAAACCTAGAATTAGGGTTTGAGATTCCCTGGTTCGAATCTCAAAGGTGAGAGGATGTTGGGTATGTGATACTTCCGCCTGTGCGCGCGCATAACGGATTGAACTGATTTACGTAAGTTTTAATCGCGCGCTCAACGATTTAATGATGTAATCAGTGTTCTATTTTTAGTTTAATGTGTTTAATGGATGCATCGTTTTTGATCTCTTGTAATAACCTCTCTTTTATAACTTGTGTACAGATTAAAGTTTTAAAAAGCTGAACCTGT